TGACCAAAATCAATGGTTTTGAAAGAAAAAACAATTTTAGAGGAAAACAGTAACCAGTTCCTGATTTTTTCGGTCTGACCGTCCGATCCGATTTTGAAAACAGTGGTGAATCGTGAGTCGTGAGTCGTGAGTCGTGAATGGAAGAGAAGAGGTCCCCAATAAGGAATAAGATAGAGATTACCTGGAGTCTCAAAGACAAAACAGTAAATATGGTGACGCTGTAATATAGCGTTTTTCCTGGGTGACATTGTAATACTAAAAAATTATGACATTTTAATTAGAGCCATTTTTTAGAATAAATTACAAAAACCCTCTTATGTTATGGGCAGTGACAGATACCACTTGAACATGGATGAGGAAAATAGAATAGATCAAGGATCAAAGGAAAAATACAAAGAAAAAGGAATGGTACTCTGAACTAGACAAAAATACCAAGAGAAGGTCATGAGTCCGGGTCCTGTTTTGGACCCAAAAACATCCAACCAGACTTCAGACCGAACAGTTGGACTATTTGGTCCAAAAACCGATGGTCAAAGCAATTCCATTTCTGATCGGATTTTCAAAAACCATGCTTTTATCTTACATCTTAACTAATTAACCCCACAGACCCACCACCACAAACCCTTATGCCTTAACCCTACTTTCTTGTATTTCCTCTTTCCTCCCCAAATCAAAATCTGAAATCGTAAACCTCCCAGCTCCCACAACCCACGGCCAATGGCAGCAGCAACATCAAGCACAATGGCATCTTGCACCACAATCACCTCGGATTCTTAAGCATTTGTATTATCTCAAAACTTTAACAAAAGTGAGTGAGAAAACACCAAAACGGTAAGTATTTTTGTCCAATGAATGCTTGTTAGCATTTCCGTTAACAAAATTTAAAACCCAAGTTTCAAGAACTTTTTAAATTTTAATAGTGGTGATGATGCAGAAGTCTAATTTCTTATTGAACTCCAAGTTGTTAATTTCTTTCTGGAAAACGTTTTTTGGAGAATACGAGTACCATTGAATCATAGGAACATTACCGTAGAAAGCTTTGATCAATTACTCCATGGAACAATATTAGTTTGAATTCATAAATAGGTGAACTTTACAAGCTATGCTTTTTCCCCTTTCGTATCAAAATAATTGTTGAATCCATAACAGGTGAACTTTACAAGCTTGTTTTCATTTTGGAAAGCGAGTCTGAATTTGGATATTTGGGTTGGGGAAGTGATTCTCATTGGGGTCGGGAATGGAAGACCACTTTTTTTCTCAGCGGGGATCGGGGACAGAAATGATGAGTGTTTTAGGCCCTGTTTGGCATCATTCCAAAGAATCAATTCTGCTGATTCCCTTGATTCTTTAGATGAAAATCTCCTTTGGAAGTAAGATTTCCAAAATTACAATTTATTTCTTGATAGATAGTTATTTCTCAGAAATGAAAAAATCTCACTTTTGAGAATTGAGAATGTCATTCTCTCAATTCTCGCTACGTTTTTAAATTAATGAACACATGGGTTCATATTACACATGAAAGTGGGGGCAAAGTTGTAAAATGCTCTTTCATTTATAACACCTATCGAACAAACAATAGCACTAAAACCCCTTTCTTCTTCTCATAACTTCCTCGGCGCTCTGTTATTGTTGTTCACCGGAGAAGCTTCGATTGTCGAGACCAGCAACCACAATGATGATGATTGTTGTCATGAGTGGTTTGTCTATGTTTTTTCTAGTTTTTCATTTGATTTATGTGTTTTTTTTTTTTTTTGAGTTTACACCATGGATTAAAATATCAATACGATACATTCAATATAAGGTATATCGTATCGGTATTATTAATGAACAGTACTAGATACACTAGGACTAACATTGTATCGTGTCAGTTGTTCGGCACCATATCGGTGTGTATCGCATTGTATCAACTGATACGTGTCGATACAAACGGATACCCACACAACTCTAATGTTAAAAAAGTGGCTGACATGATTCAAACCTAGGTTTAAGCACTAAGCCACCCTTTAATTTGTGATTATAAATAAAATAAAATTAATTTTATTATCTTAATTGTAAGCAACAGTCTAAAGAAATGTCATATTAAATATTAATATGTTCAACAATTTTAACTTAAAAATAAATAGAATAATAATTATAATTATAAATGAATTAAAACTTTTACCAATTTTATATTTATATCAAAAATTGATTTTTCACTCTCAATAAATTTATACAATTAAAAATATTAGTAATAGAACAATTATTTTAGTACTTACAATTCATACATTTGTACATGAACATATATATATATACTTACACTAGATATATTATTATAAAAATTAAAAACTTTGTTTACAAAATATTCAAGCATACAATATTATACTGAATCTATCAAATACACTAATTTAAATTTATATAAAAATGATTTCTTATTTCAAAAAATTTATTGAAATAAAAAGTTTAATAGAATACTTATTTTAGTAATTAAAAATTATGAATTTGTATATGATATGTATTTTAAAAATTTTAATATATAGATATGAAATATTTTAAGTTAAGATTATATATTTTATAAATTATCAATTGATATTTTAATTTACATTTTATAATAAAATTTATTATTTACAAAAAATATATATTGTTTATCAAACATTTCAAATTTTAATATTTAGTTGACATTTTTCATTAATATTGAAAAGTAAAAATAGTAAAATAAAAAATAATTGATATAGTAATTAAAATATAATAATTGTATATGTTTTGTTTCTTGGACTTAAGTAAAATATAACATAATAATGGTTTTATGCATGTGATAATTTGTAAAGATCCATATAGTATAAGTCTTGGACTCTTGATTGATGGGTTATCAACAAAATTGTATGATATCTATACATTCCATTATATTTATTATAATATATTTCTTTATATATACCATTAAAATATACATTTCTTATGTATACATACCTTATTTAAGGTTATTTTGACCTTAAAGTTAGTGTAATTGATGTATTTATGAAATTTGTATGTATTTTCATATATTTCATCTGTATCCATACGTTTTCAAAGTGTATAATAGTGCTGAGTCTATGTTCAAACAAAATATTGGTGATTAATGGTTTGTGTTGAATGAAAAAAGGTGGTCTGTGTTTGAATGGAAGGGGAGGGAGAGAGAGAGATAGAGATGTTCATCAAAAGAACTAGTGGTTCTGTTGCTGGTCGATTCATCAATGATGACTGAATGGAGTGTTCCTGATTATGATTAATATTTTCAAATGCTCTATTTTCTTTATGGGTTGAACCTTCTGCTTTTATATGACTGGTGTTGCCAAAAGGTGAACGGTGTTAGCGTTTTCTCCATTCTATTCCCCATTGTTGCTCTGAAAACTCACTGCCATTCCCCACTGTTGTCTTCTCACTATTTCAGGGGAGAAGATTTCACCGATTGAAGTGGATGCAGTCCTTTTGTCTCGTCAAGACGTTGCTGAAGCAGTTGCCTTTAGAGTGATAAAGGCCAAACTCTCTCTCTCTCTCTCTCTCTCTCTCTCTCGGGGTTTCGCAAGGCTCCTTGGCCTTTAACGCAATTGGCTCGAATGACTGGCCTCGGTAGCTCCTGCCAATACGCCAGATGGGGTGAGAAAATAGGAAGATGGCAATGTTTTGTGTTCCTCGATTAAGTTGCAGAAAAACAATGAATAAGATGTGGTGATCAAACACCATTTTGAGTTTGAAAAATAAGAATCAAAATTATATGTCAAACACCGCTAATGTTTTCTCAGAATGTGGAAAATTCTCAGTATTCAGTATTTTCTAGAAGGATTTTGAGAATGATAATTTTCAAAATTGATGGCAAACAGGGCTTAAGAAATTGGGATTGGGGATGGAGAGTATAATCCCCACCCCAAACCCTCCCGCTACCATTCTTATTAATAGAGTTAGGGAAAGGAGTGTGGAACCCACTGGAAAAACGTGGAGAGCCTTACACGCAAATGTCAACAAGAACTAGGAGTGTGCAACCAATTAACACCCTTAATTTAAACAAACCAATTAGGGGTCCTGTTTGGGAGGGCTGAAGCTTTGGTTGAATTGCTTTCACTGCACTAATTTGGATAAGCCATCCAAAGAAACTTAAGACACCTATTTGTGGCTTTCCAATATTTTGCCGAATACAGATTATGGGCCGTCTGGGTGAGGCCCACCTCACAAAGCCAGAAGCCGCTCCCTGAAAGCCCTCCCAAACAAGCACTAAATTAGTGAATTACTTTGGAGAAGCCAGTAGCCACAGAAAATTCAACGAAAATCCGTTTTTCCGGGCTGAAGGTTAGCAAATTTAGGCTTTCTGGGATTTCACCAACATTGATTATAAGCTGTCCAGGTGTGGCCCACCTAGCAAAGCCAAAAGCCAAGGTGAATATAATCCAATTATTGCCTGTATCAGAGCACTTTCACGCTGTGGTTTTTGGCCTTGAAAGGTGGGATCCACAAAATTAGGAGACTCTGCTGAGTGCTGACAAGCCTCTTTGAATAACGTCCTTAAAGCAGCTACCTATAAAGTTAAACCCTCCCAAACGAGCCCTCAACAGGTAAAGGGGGGGAAAACAAATTCTTTCTCATGCTCTGGCTCCCCCATTACACATTGTCTGAGGATAAATGTAACAGAAAAGATGTCCACCACCAAACAAGAATACCATGCACCATAAATAATATGAAGGATGTCCAATGTTAATATTCATATCCAATTATATATCACACTTCACTACTGAGTAATATTTGTAGACCAATGTCCTAGGAAGCTGAATGCATCTCGAGGTAGTAATGTCTTCAGGTACCAATGCATCACGTTGTTTTCATTTTTTATAGGATGGTCCAAACTTGTTTGCCAAGGAGTTTAACTTCAATAAATTATTTACCCACTTACACTAAAATCTGCTAATAGAAAGCAACCATTGGATAGATCTCATAACCAGTACTGACGTACTGTTCAGGTTGTACGTCATCCAGGTACTGCATTTAGAAGATTCATGTACAAATAGATTTTATACAGGAAGACAATGTGAAAATCACTTTTCCTTTCAGGGGTGGGGTGTAAAAATGAATTTAGTATATACTAATGTTGAAAGAAACAGGAATTTAAACTAATATACAAGTCAAAAAGCAGGCATGTACATCAGTGAAACATCTATCTAGCTACACCTGGAAAAATCAGAGAATGCTCAATAACTCTACCATAATGCTAGGAACTGACAAAATATACCTACCTCTGAGCACTTATTTTGTATGATATACTGAATCGGTAGCTTTAGAAGTTTGGGCATTATCAAAATCCTTATCAGCACTTGAATCGCCCTAGATGCCTTTTTCCTGTATTCCCTTATTGACAAATTGATTCTTCCATGCTATTTATATCAGGAAATTGATCAAATGATCTCAGTTTCTCAAGGATCAACCTTTCCTGCTTAGAATCTGTGGTGCACATGGTCAAGGACTTGTAAATCATAAAATTAAATAAATAACAGAGTGCATGTGAGGATGGGAGCACAAATGCATTACTAACTATTAGATTTGTTGAAGATAGATAAGAAGCAGTTAGTAAAGCAGCTACACCTTACAAAGTAAACATTTAACTGAAAAACAGCATGGAAGGATTTTAATATCTAGCCTGCACAGCTGGAAAGGTTGTATATATTGACATGTAGAGGAAAATGAACGTGTAGTTAAAAGTAATCAAATTGCCAGGATACATTCCTGATCTGGGTTCTCAGTGAAATTGGAATGGAGAGCATTGCCAATGCTGTCCACTATAGCTGAGGTTGTCATGGATGATTCAATGCATAAAATGGCAGTGATTGCATCTAGTCGATTAACCTCATTTCTGAACATGAGTCTTGCATGTGCTGTACCATCAATAATAAATAATGTCAAATCTTTGGGACAAATTGGAAGTTAAAAACTGATGAGGCTCCACCATCATCATCTAAGCCTTGTTCCAACTGTATGGTACCTGCTCCATATGAACATTTAAAACATACCTTGGGCTAGTCGAATCAAACTTTCAAGCATGCGCACAGTTGTCCTTGCTGCATAATTAAAGTAAGCCCCATAAACATTGAGCAAAAGGACCAATTAGTACATTACCCAGTGCTTGTCCCCACCAACCAGGATCTTAGGAGTTAGGAAGGGTTGGATTGGATTCAGACCTAACCTCCAGCATTTTTTACACAAAGTAGCCACTTCCAGGCCCAAACTTGTCATTTGATTTTACCATTGCACCAAGCAATGGCCCCTCCATAATGCTGTAAATTTCTTATTAGAAAGGTCCTGTGATTCAAACCTGCATTCTGGACAGCTGATCTTCTTTGAAGCTGGTAATAGCTTGAAATAACTCTTTCTGCCTCTTTTGTGAGTACAGGTTTGAAATATCCCTTTACAAAGTGAATGTACCTGAAAAACAAAATTGTCATAACCCATAAATAGTTATAATTGTCTCAAAATGCAACTTCAAGCTACATAAGCATCTTGAGTCATGAAGAGTGAACTCAGCTTTACTAAAACTAGAGTTTGGTAGATCCAAATAATCTTGTCAAAAATGTAGCTGTTCACATCATTAAGGTTATTCCAAAAAATTCAAAGAATTGAAAACCAGTAAATGCTTTTAAGATACGGGTACCTCCTAAGCATGGGAAGTGACCAAATGCTCATAAGATCTTCATCATTCTTTCCTTTTTCTTGTCCTCCTTGCTGATTAGATTCACATGGTCATCAACATTGGCACAAATGGTCCACAGCAACAGAGCCATTTATATCAAACTGAGTAATATATTTACCTCAGCCAGAATGTGAGATGAGACAATTACATCCCACTCCGGATTCTTTGTATCCAAGAGGACAAGGATGATATCAAATCTGCTAAGCAAGGGTCCAGAGAGTGCAGTGTTGACAGATAAAGCTAAAATAGGTTAAGAAATACGAGAAAAAGGGGGAAACAGATGAAGATGGCATGGCATTGCAACATGCCCCTAAACATTAGGGTGATTAATAAATAGCCAATTGCAATTTCAGGATGCATAACTACTGTCCAAAAATAAAACTGTAACTTGGGCCTTTACATGATTTATCATAACCTAATTCATAGAAGAAATTAAGATTGAAAAAAAAAGCTAAATAGAAGTGATACGTTGACTAGGATCATACTGCCCTTTTGGGTTTGTCGCACCGAAGACAATAGTCCTAGTACTAAGAGTTGTTACAAGACCAGCCTGAAAAAATAATAGTAATTATACAGCCAATGTTGTTTAGGAATTAGTTACCAGAAATTGAAAACAGCATGATAAATTGCCAAGGGAGAAAGAAATATCCATTTTATAGTTGCATCACTGACAACAAGCACAGAACCAATCTCCTATCATCTAACAAACCATCAATGGTGATAGAAGAGATAAATTTTAAATCAGAATGCTGGGAAGCGCAAGAAAATTACCTAAGTAGAATATAAATAAAGAAACACAAACTCATTGAAATTGATTAAAGATGGTACAGAAATATCTACTAATGATATGCATGAAAAGATTGCTGATCTGTCGCATGGCATATTCTTCATTTGTACCTCAAACTTTTAAAACTCCAAGGAAAAAATACGCAAAACAGTGAAGCATCTCAATTAAATCTACAAGAGAATGAAACTATGTTCATATGCTCGTATACACTATGCATTAATCAAGGAATATAAAACATACAACTTTGCATTAAACCAAAATGGTTCTAAGCCATAACTTTGTCATGAGCAAATGTTCTCCAATGAAATTTACTGAGCCGGGTTGCAATCAAATTATCTTCACATCCCCACACCTCCTCCAAATATAAGGATAAACCTCCTCTTTTTTCTGATTTACTTAAAAAGTGACCACCTACTTTTCCTAATATATGGTTTCCAATGGTGAATTAAGGTATAAGAAAATCAGTCTTTTCAGGGAAAACTACTATGAATGACCAACTGAAGGAAACGGAGGAGGGATGCAAAGAGAGAAGGATTTTCAAAATTTCATTTCTAAGCAAGGCCACTTTGATGTTTGGTTGTAATCATAGTTGTCAAGGCGACCCCTAGGCAACAAGGTGCCCTTGGAGGCTCGCCAAGCAGTTTTATATAGCGTGTTATAAAAAACTTTTATATTCTTAATTTTTTTATGTTATAATTATAAAATAGACATTTTTAAATAAAAATATTCATTTTGTGTGTTTATATACTAATTTCTTTTTATTATTTTCTTATTTGTTAGGGTTTAATCAACACAAACATTGCTAAATGCTGTATCGAACAACATAAAATGTTGTCCAATCAACATTTTCTTTTCTTCTTTTCTTTTCCTATAACAGAAATAGGGATTCAGCCCCTATATTTTTTGAATGTTCTATACTTTAACATGAAATTTATACTTTTCTTATGAAAATTATGGATATTTATTAAGGAAATATGATTACAGAACCTAGGAAACTACCCTAGGATACATGTTTTTACTGAAAAAATCCATCACCTAGGCGACTAGGCGACAAGGCGCCCCCCCTGTCGCCTAGCCTTGGCACTTTTGAAACTATGGTTGTAATCTCAATCCTCTAACCAGATAAGCCAGTGGAGTCCTCCTTAAACACCGACACAACATCAAATGATCTCAGCTCTAAATCCAGAATTTAGTTGTCATACTTCACATTGATAATGATACATTATTCTAGTTTGTGGTTTCTTGACCCAATTGGGATAAGTGAGAATATCATTTTGTTGACATATCAAATAAATGTAGCATTTAGGGTGTACTTTGATGTTTGGTTGTAATCTCAATCCTCTAACTGGATAAGCCAGTAGAGTCCTCCCTAAACATTGGCACAACAATCTCAGCTCTAAATCCAGCATTTAGTTGTCATTATTCATTTAAGGATACATTGTTCTAGCTTGTGGTTTCCTGATCACGGAGTATCATTTTGTTCTGATATCAAATAATTGTAGCAATTGGGTGTACTTTGAAAAGAAGGCCGACCTTACTACAAAGAAAAGAACAGACAAAACAACCTAGGCCTGTTTTAGGGGATCAACTGCCTTCTTCAACCCAATTATGAACAATTCTAGTATATGCAATAACATAATCTATATTAAACACTTCTCCAAATATTAGAGAAAAATTTTTATTAAAAACCTTAAATTCAAATACCATCTACTATTGCATGGATTTCCCCAAGTGGATGAAATGTCTGTGTAGGACATGTGTTGGATCCCAACTGGATACTTTTTTTGATGGATAACTGAAAACTTTATTAAAAGGGCATAAATATACAGAACACCGTACAATCAAGGATTGGCCACACATACTACCTATCCCCCAAAGAAGAATGAAGAAAAATTACAGAACAACCCAAAATAGTTAGCCCTTGTTTAGCCATAAAATCAGCTAAATTGGCAGATCTTGGCACCCACTGAAATTTAACTCCCATATTCAAATCCAACCACTTAATTTCCTTAAGTTCCTCTCTGTAAGTCCACAATGCCTTCTCTTCATTTGATAACAGCTTACATGTCTTTGAATCACCCTCAATAAGCAAATTAGAAATGTTTATTTGCTTTGCCAATCTGATACCTTGAAGCATTGCTAGCAGTTCTACTCCTATTGAACCTGAGAATACTGTCTTAACTTCTCCATTTTCATCCCAAATAACAACACCCACTCCAGCACAATGTCATCAAAAGAAAGAGTAGATACTCAAAGACTTTACCCAATGAGCCACTCTCATTCTTATGGTTTCAATGATGGCTTCCTTTGTTTTTTTTTCTTAATCCCTAAAGATCCTTGTATCCCTTTCTTCCTACAATGACCATATCATCACTGCTCTTGTGCATCTCCACTTATTCCTCTCCCTCTTCCTTGGCCACCTGAAAGTGTAGGAAGCAAACTAACTAACCACATCTAGAGGGGAGGCCCATTTGCAACCAATGAGGGAGAAAAAATATTCCAAATACTAGTGGAAATTGACAGGAGATTAGTAGGTGGTAACAAGAGATTAGTCTGTGGAGATAAGGTCTGATTAGGCCTTTTTTGCAAGTATTAATCTTCCCGCGGTACACTTCCCAGCAAATACACACTATGAATGTCATTTTTTCTATAGATTGTAATTAAGTAACAAAGATAAACTTCTAGATCTTTTTTTATAAGTATATAATGCTGGTATTCAAAAAAATATATATGGACTATTTTAATAGTTTATACTTTTCTATATGTGCATCCGCTAGTCCTTGTTTCTTCATTTTGCCAAGTCAAATTACAATTCCTGCATTTGTGTACATGCAACACTAATACCATTAGAGCTTTAAAATAAAAGAGGAAAAGAAGATATATCACCTACTATTCCTACTATTTCCATGAAGAATTTCTCAACTATTTGAATGGCTTATGAATGAATCTACATAAAATGTAAATAATAAGGGGAAGTAACATAAGAAGATATCATTAATCACTAAATTCTTCCATCATATTGAACAAACATGTAAAGTAAAAGGAAATGTCTGATACCTTTGCAATACTTATAGTTTGTTGCTCCATGGCTTCATGTATGGTTGCCCGGTCATGCTCTCGCATGCTATTAAAATAAAAATAAAGAAAAGAAGTGTTAGTCCAGCATCACATGTCAAGAAACACTTGAAAAAGAGCCTCCTAGAAAAGAATAGAAACAACCCTATATTTCTTTCTTAATAATAAATGGTAAATTTCACAAGATCCGTATAAAGTATACAAGCAAATAGCCCTAAACAAAAAAGAGAACCAAAATCCTAACAGTTAGTGTCATACAAAAAGAACCAACTTTGTACATGACCCCCTAACAACTGTGTGTGTGTAAACTCCAACATCTCAACCCAAGTATATAAGCATCCCCTCCAGAGTTATATATCAAAAGGAAGCAAAGTAGAAAACAGAAGTAAAAAGTTTATGTATTTCTAGTTTTCTGGTTATATACTGCAATGTCCCACTTGTCAAATAGATGCATGAAAAGATGGCTCATTTATTTATCAAAACAAGTCCAATTGGCTATCTACTTTTGATGAATGGGAAGAATGAAGAGTTAAGTATAGCGAATAAGAGGGATCATTAGAAACTGTCTGGTCTATTTTGGCCATACACTTGGGACCTTGGACCTATAGGCCATGGGAATTCTACAAGGGCTGAGGTGCTTGCAGTGTTACAAGGACCATGGCTAGGAAGATAATTAAACGTGAGAAACATGTTGGTAGAAGGTGACTTTGGAGTGGTTGTGGATTGGTTAAAGAAGAACAACAAGGATCACGGAAATTTAGGAACATTATGAAGGAAACATAATGTTTGGCTAATGCCATGGCAAGACAGGGGATAAACAGGGCACATATTTACTGAGGAACCTTGCTCGAAAATGTAACCTAAGCAGTAGAAAAAAGAGTTAGGGGGCTTTTCCAGCTTATTTAAGGGATGCTTCGGCATGCTTGTAATAACTAGTTCTTTTTCATTATCTAATGAAAGTTGGCAATTACTGCCAACTCCCCAGGTTCCTTCACCTATGTTTCTTTCTTTAATACCCTATCCATCTACTCTCTGCCTCGAGACTTCCCCAATGAAAGACATTTGGTACCAAATGGTGCCACTAAAGATTAGAGCCATTTGTGAGGAGGTTTTTCACTTAAAATTCAACACCTGCAAAACACTACAAAGGAGAAGACCTCATTAGTATCTGTCACCACATGTTTGTTTTCTTTACTATGCAAAAGGAAAATCTACTCATTACCTACTAATTTCCTGTCCATATGTTGCTAATATTTGGGAATAGTTCTTTGCTTGTTCTGGGTGAAGGTGGAGTTCTCCTTAATGGAAAAGGCAAAGTATATTTGTATTATGAGAAAAGTGGGAGGTTTCGCAATACAGTGACTTACAGTATAATATCATTCACAAAATTAACATAAGTATGCTAATTATGAGACGGAGAGAGAGAGAGAGAGAGATTAGAAGCTTCTGCCCAGGAACAGAATTTTGCAGACATATTATGGCCTTCTGATGTGCAAGACTCTCTTCAAGAGCTCACTCTTCATAGTACCTATAAAGAAGGGGAAAAAAGAAGCGCCAGGGCATCTGTTTTGTGGACTATATGGGAACAAAGGAATGGAGAAAAAAAAATCAATGTAAAGGCACACTCTAGAGAAACAATCATTAAAATTATCACAGTAAGAGTGGTGCATTGGATCAAGACCTTGAGTTTGTTTAATCTGTTTACTAAGAATGGCGTCATCAGAGGATGGAATTTAATAGCTTCTTCATCAACTAAAATGTCTATAGCCTCATAACAGTGGCACCCACCAGTCAGCAACCAAATTAAACTAAATTTTGATGGCTGCAGAATAGGAAACCCTGGACTTTCAGGCATAGGAGGGGTTATTAGGGATTGTTTATGGACCCATCTTGTCCATATACTTGGGATCTATAGGGTATAGAAATTCCATAAATGAAACAGTACTAGCCGTGTTTCAAGGAGTAGATTGTGAATGTCACTAAATGGTAGAAACTTGCTGGTGGCAGATGATTCTAGAGTAGTTATGGGCTGGTCAAAGAGCAAAAGTCAAGGTTTGTGGCAAATTAAAAAGAAATACGAGCGCTAATAAGGGAAATGGGAGCAAGGTTCTGATGGATCCATAGATCTACATATTGTTTGGCAGGCACCTTGGCTAAACATGGGGTGAATAGGGTTTATCTATATTGGGGAACTCTTGTGGATTATGTAATCTTAAATAGTAAATAAAGGGTTAGGTGGATTAATCCAGCCTATTAAGGGATGCTTGGAATATTTTTATATAATTTATTACTTGTATCATCTAGCAAAAGATAAGGGTTGCCAATCAAAAAAAAATTAATAGCTACCAATAAATAAATGTATAGCCACATAAGCTACAAAAAATAAAAGGCTCGTTGAGGCTTAAATCTATGGCCTCTATATCCTCATTGACGAGACTGAAATAACAGACATGAACATATAAACAATTGGCATCTCAAGTACAAAATGTGACTAGGAAATGGACAAGGCAATTTCTTCTCTCAATTCTCTGATGAACCGATATTGTGAATAGTAGCTTTCACAATCAAAATATATATTTTTCTTTATCAAAATGCATTTTCATAAATCACTCTGTCACCTATAACATAAATTGGTCATGCATGATGTATAACTGAGGAAAATTTTTCATTGCTTTTATTTGCAAAAGTTCATAAGATATTTTAGAGACAATATTACTAATATTACATAAAGAAGGCTAAAGTATATATGTAGAGATATAACAGTTACACAATACAGTGAAGATGAAATCTTAACTAAAATTAATATAGACCACAAATTATTACAGAAGGGTGCAAACAGGCTAGAACAACAGGTTTTGCTTTTGGCTGGTCTGCGCCAAATGTAACTAGAAACTCACCTCCAAAGTCAACCAGTTTTGCTTTCAGATAGTCAGGACTAAATGTACAGTTGCCTAGAAATTTAGACTCCAAAGCAAATCAAGGGTGATCTGGGCCAAGATGGCTAGCCTAACTAGCCCTTGTATGATGGGTTGAAGAACAGACTAAGGATAAGGTAAAAATATTAGATCCATATCACTCCAACCTATTATCATGGATATTGCGACAAGATTCACAACATCCCACAACCGACCAATCAGCATACATGAAAATGTGAAAGTCATGTATACCATGCTAAACAGATAAATAGCGTCATGCAGACATGTTTGCATGAAAAAAGTTAATAAGAGAAAGACATGAGGAATATATTTTATAATGAATATAAGAGATTTCAGAAGTCAGAACCAAAAAGAAAAGAAAGAAAGACCAATATGTAAGAAATAAGATAAAAAGAAAATATAGGTGTTGTGCCATGTAAGTCAAATCTTCAAGAAAATACCTATCAAATTCATCTATGCAGCAAAGGCCACCATCTGCCAAAACAAGGGCCCCAGCCTCCAACATCCATTCACCTGGTTATTTTAGAAAAATGAGATGATCAAGTATCAAACTTAGATATTCAATCCATCACACTGGAATATGTAGAGAATGTGAAAAATAATTGGTTCTTAAGAATACTGGGTTTGGGTAAATTTGGTTTTTCTGTTCAAAACTTCTATGCACTGTGTAGCTAGGGATAGTGATTGAAAGCAAGACAATAATAAGAGAAGCACTTTCAAAGAAACTTCGGTTTCTTTATTCAGGTTTGAAATCATAATTTTTTGTTTGGTATCTTTTAGATCTTCTTAACCGGTAGAAGTTTTTTACAATATTCAAATTCCAACCTCTCTCTTACTCCTATTTTTATCCAATCTTATTGTTTAAGAAATATATATTTAATATATAGATAGACTCCCTGGTTCATTGTGGCTTACCCCAGTCAAATTTTTTAACGTTGGGCAAAACAATACAATTTCTTCATTTTCCAATCACAGAAAAGCTGCAAACTGCTGACCTATGTCATGTTAAAGTGATTTCTTTGATTATTTGTTTATTGACTACTTAAAAGGACTTTGCATGAGGATCAATTTACAAAACCAACCTTTTGTATCTTATGGAATTCTATGTCCATAAACTCTAGTGTTCAATAATCATATTTAGCTTTCCCTTGTTCTTCACCCAATTTCTGCTTTATCAAATTGTCTTCTCCTTGTTCTTATTCTGAAAGTGCTAAAAATTTGTAACAAAAACACAAAATATGCATTGAATATCTTTCAAGAATACCTTCCTATGTGTAGAGTCCTAAATCTATAGCTCCCATCTTTTTTTTTTTATGAGTAATAAAGTATTTTATTAATAATAGTAAAAGTAAACTGACAAATACATACAAAACTGAGTTCTCCCAGAAGGCATGAGTTGCTGCCTTAAAAACAAAGTAAAATTACAATTGATCCCTGTTCACCCCTGCTTCTCTAGTAGGTCAGCCAGTCCATCAGATTTTTTTTTTTTTTGATAAACGATTGGTATTTTATTAAGCATAGAAAAAGTGTACAATCAGYCTAAGAGGAGGCATGAGATGTTAACTCCCCTTGGAGCTGAGCACTGAGAAAAAGGCAAACTCTAGCCTGAAATTACAATTATAAGGTAGCCCAAAAAAGCATACTCTAGCTCCCATCAGATATTCCTTCTACAGTGCTTCACAAAGGTCCTTTTTTTGTGGATTGTTAACATTGGACTTTAAATGGTATGCAGTTATGCATAATGTACTTTTCTCATTTCATTAGGCTAGACTTAACTACCTTACCCCTCCCTTTGTTTTTACACATAGCCTTCAATACAGTTGTTTCCCGTAAACCCTTTATTTTGCGAGTCGGCAATACAATTTTCTGTTCTTACTCTCACCTTTACCATAATATTTCCATATTAATAAAATAAAAGAGTTTGTTTGAATGAAAAGTGATACTAAATGTATAAGTTTGTGCCTTGCTAGACCTAGAATGCATGTGGACATTCATAAATGACAGTGTCAGAAGGTTGAGCTTCATGGTGCAAATGTTATTACAGTTCAACAGAACTTTAAACTTCATAATTATTGAAAGTATGGGAAACCATAAAACCTACCTCCATCCTTGACAGCAGTAACAGTTAATCCAGCACTGGTGCTTCCCAAGCCAGTTGTGATAACAGATCGATTGCTCAATTTAGCAGCAAACTTCAAAAATTGGGACTTCCCAGTCCCTGTCAGATTCATAAAATAACAAACATTATCACTCTGCATCTGTATTAGGAGTTTCAGAAAATCCAACTGCCCTCTTCCTCAGACAGTTTTTTATGCTAATGGAACACGAAATATTTATTAGCAATAAGAAGCATACAGGAAATAAAACATTAATTAGAATTTTCCTTGGGGGAAAATTTTGGGGGKGTGTTGGACATTGTGCATTTACAGGGTATACCTTTGTACACTGATTTAAGATTATTCTTAACCACGGAATTTCTTTTTTTTTCTTTTTAATAAATTTTTCATTTATCATGCATGCATAGATAAAGTGAGATTTTAGCTGGTGATAGCCAATAAAATGATCAGCACTTGATACATGATCCTTAGAAGGCTAAAACCAATAAAATTTATTTCTCACACTTGGTTATGTACATGGCTGATGGATAAGCAGCGAGTCAATTCTATGTCAACTGTCAGATTTAAGTTGGAGCTTGCAGAGTGCCCCTTTGGTCCAGGTGGAAGATTATGTGGAAATGTGTTCTTTAGAACCTTTTGGAGCATCTAGGAAGAGAGGAATTCTCAGATCCTTCATGACATTAAGTAATTATGGTGTCGTTTGACAAGTCTTTTTTGAAAGATCTTCTGGCATACCTGACAGCCAAAAGACGATGTGAGCTTTTGCATTAAGATCTTAGCAGCCTGAAGACCGTTTGGTTAAGGCATGTCTTCCTGCACGTCTTTCTGCACAAAGACATGATGAAAAAAGTGGACAAGCTCCATTTGGAGCTTCCCAAAAATAGCCCAAAACGGGCTTCACACGTCTTTTCGGGGCAGCATCTTTTGGCAGCTAGATCTTTTCCCAACCAAACAGAAAAAGACGAAAACATGGGCTGCCGGGCTTCTAAACAGCCAACAGCCCACGCAAAAAGATGTGCCAAACGGGGCTTATACATCTTGTCAGTGAAAAATTTTATTACCATTAGAGTGGCCAAATGAATGATCACCATGGGTGCTTTTTAGTATGTTTCTATTGGCTGGAGTGTGGAATATTGGTGCCTTATAACCTTTTAATTTGGAGATCATGATAATAGTGAATAAGTGGCAGCTTTGCAAATTGATAAGTGATAATGGTATTAGGGTAAATTGGTATAGTGAATTAGGTAATGGTAATTAGGGATTTAGGGTATATAGAGTAATTAGGGTATATATATAGAGCTTTGCAAATCGATATAGTAAATTTGCAATGGCCAATACTTTAGCAAAGCGAGGAATTAGTAGGGAAAACCTTTTCTAGGTGTGTTTGTAATTTATTTTTTGTAAGGGTCACCTTGATTATGAAGGTGACAGTTGAAATAAGTCTCCTTAAGATTAATAAAGGTCACCATTTCCCATAAAAAATGATATAGTAAATTAGACAATGGTAATTAGGGTATTGCCTTCTTGTCATGTTAAGTTCCTTCTACATTTCAAAAAGAAGGCTACTTATGCTAATTACTGAACTTTGTGGCAATTGTGGAAGAAACTTTCAAAGAAGATCCTAGCAATTTTCCCTTAAAATTATTTAGGCATTAAAACAAGAAACATTTATGTATATAAGTTGTATTCTTTTTCTTAGCATTTTTCTCCAGCATACCAAAATGTTTGCATATCAATATCTTAAAATTGACTTATCAATATGCCCCACTGTACAGTTATTTAATCCTTGGTTATAATTGTTCCTCTAGGATGTAATCCAACTATACCCATAGTTGGCATGGCTAGAAAGGGAAGAGTTGAAGTGTTAGGCCATGACTTGTAAATCTGCAGCCTCACCTAAAGTAGACATCTAGAATATCAAGAACTTGCATAATCATAAAAGAAAAAGAAGATTACCAGGGTCACCAACTAAAAGCAAGTGTGACTCCCCTCGAACCTTTGTCCCAGAAGCACCAACATGTTGAACACCTCCAATCAATGTTAGTGCAACTAAAGGTTGAAGTAGCAATGCATAAGATAAATGGAAATAGAATCCATTAGTGTAAGAATATAACTTCTGTTGGTAAGGTTCAAAAAAGAAGAAACAGAAAGCATTTCATGTATGGCATTACCTAGTCTTCTTCTTTGTTCGATTAGCAAAGAAAGTTGTATATTTCAATCTTCAAACTAAATGTTAAAGAAACTGAAAATGAAACATCATATACCTGCAAGCTTAACTGTAAACAGTCCAAAAACTTGTGGGCAAATTCCTCGGAGAATGGCATTTCTCCCTGTGATAAATTTGACTGCTTTGAGAATAACTAGAAAGACAGTATTTACTCTTAAATAGAATTATTAATTGTTATACTACAACAAATATCCGATAATTCTTTACAGCATGATATCCCTTAAGTTTGTATTAAAGTTGACACAAAATAAATAATATAAATAGCATAGAAAAAGCAAAAGGAGCGTTGTTACATAGCTTTTTTTTTCTTTTTTTATATTTTTTATTAAAGAAGTTAAATACATGGGTACCAAGAAGGCAAGAATACATGGTTACCTACCTTTCAATGGGGTATCTTTGTGCTCCAACCAAAATTGCTTGAACTTATTGACTACATGATCAGGAACATCAATATCTGATTTTAGTTCATTGGTTCTCCTGGGCAGTGAAAATACTATAAGTGAATGTATTTGCATAATTCCTCTTCCACATGCATGTCATTAAGGGCAAAATGGCTACAAGAGAAATACATGAATGCCAAAATTAGCAAAATGCTTTTGAAGTACATGTACTACTTGCTTCAAGCAATTTAAGTAAAACATGAAATGCAAGAGAGCTGGACTTGATTCAAGCTGAACCAAAAGCCCTGTTGCAAGGATTGAAGCTTGCTGAACAATTAGGGGCAAGAGAGCTGGAAATTGAAGGAGACTCGCTTCTGATTATAACATGGGCAAAGCAAATTGAGTCAGCACCTTGGAAGCTAAGATTCACTTTTAGACAGATTGACCAACTTGCAAAGAGATTTAACTCTACCTTCAAATGGGTTAAAAGGGAAGCTAATGGGTTGGCAGATATGTTAGCCAAGCAGGGAGCTAATAGACCATCCTTATTTTGGACACTGTTGTAAACTAACTTTGTTTTGGGAATTATTGTATCTTAAATTCAGATTTAAATTAATAAATGAATTTCTTCGCTGATCAAAAAAGCATGGTGATAGTTAAGTGTCAACTTGAAAAGAAGGTGGTATACATAAAAATCCTAGGATATTCAACACCTCAAAACATCTTTAAAAGCCATCAGGTAAACTAGAACTCGTGTTCTAGGTATAAGTAAAGCATTAATTGACTTATCAATGTAAAAGAAACACTTCACCAACCTGACATGATTGGCAACTAAAACTGGATCAAGGTCACATCGAACATCCTTTAAATTTGAAGACCATTTTGCAGTCAAAACCCCTGTAACGATCACATCATCTAGAACAACCAGAAGATTAATGGAACCAAATCAAAATTCAAACAAGAAGCATAGAATGCAAGAAGAGACAAAGTTATATGTATTAGAAAATCTGAGCAGCATAAAGAAACTTCTGGAGAAAACAGGCTTACAAAATGAATTACTGTTCCTCAATGAACAGCATTGTCAATGAGAACATTCAACTTCCAAAGCATGCAGACAAAAATCAATCCATAAATATCTTGATCTGCTAAAAAGTGTAGCCAGTTCCTCCAACAAGTCAGGCTTGAAGGGAAGGGGATCATACCCATGTATCCAAATCCATCCCAAAAGTTGGTTGAATGTAGTGTATGACTCGTATTGACCCTTGGATTAACCCTTCATAAATCTTGAAGTTGTGATACATAGGGCATACTCTTTGTTTATACCTAGGCCTTGTGCACATCTAAGATAGCAGAAGTCGACTCCTGGCCATTGTCAATCAGTGTACATGTAGGAAAGGCACTGGTTGAGGTGCAAGGAAAGATGAACTAAAGTTTTTCTGCCTCTAGAGCATTTGATTTTATTTAAGGGAATAAAAAGTTAGCGGCATATTTTAGGAAGGTGTTAAAAAGTTTTAGGATTGGAATCCAGTCATTAATAGACCAACTCATTCTTAGTAGTCATGGGAAATGATCCATCTTTTTGCTACCAAGGTCACCATTCAACTGGCATATGCACATGGTTTCAAATGTCGCCAAATGTCAATGTCGAGGCTTACCGACATGAAAATGGATGGTAATATAAAAATCGATCCAAATAACCAAAAAAAAGACAGTTTTTCCTATTATGTCGACAAGATGTTGACTAATGTACATTAATAATATAATATATTAGTATACTATATTAACATAATACAGTATATTAATATAAATTATTCCATTAATAATTTCTATTTAATATTTCAAATAAAATATTTATAAAAAAGAATTAACCAAAATACAAAAATAAAAGAATAAATTAATTACTTTATAATATAAAACATAAAATATTTTTCAAGTAATAAAATATTAACTAGTTAGTATTTTTAAAAATATTTACTAAAATCAGAAAATGTTTATTAAATTTTATAATAAATCATATTCTACATTTAATATAAAAATCAGAATGAATTTATTAAATTTTATACTAAATCATAATTTATTATAAATTTAGCATAAAAAATCATAATAAATTCATTAAGTTTTATAAGAATTCAGAATTTATTATAATCTTAATACTACAAAAAGGAGAATCAGTTTATTAAATTTATAATAAARCATAATGTATTATAACTTTAATATTTAAAAAATCAGAATAAATGTATTTCTATTTACTAATGTGAAATAAATATATTAGAATTTATAATAAATCAGAATTAAAAATAAGAAAGAAAATATCAGATAACCTTGTAAAAACATCAAAATGCATAATAAATCAGTAAATCGCCATTTACTAATTTGTTATTGATCTTAGTTTCTTAGCTTTATATAATGGTTGGGAATAAGACAATAGTCTAGAAATATGTATTAATGCTCTTTTTATAATTTTACAAAATATCATTGCATATTTCCACATATTTCATAATATTTTCACAATGTCTCTAATTTTTACAATATTTCCCCTCGAAATTTCCGACATATGTCCTATGTTTTGGTAAGAGACATTTCCATCGACATCGACATTTTAAACCTTGCATATGCAGTCATTTTGGAGTCATAACTCCACAAGAAATACATGATTTAGAGTAAAAATATATCAATCAACTTGATGAGTATAAAAAATAAATAAATAACTATCCCACTATCTAAAAATAGGAAAGATAATGTACAGTTAATATTTTAACAAAAGAATCTACTGGAATTTGAAAAGAACTGAAGAAATTGCTTTATATATCAGAACGACAAAAACAACAATGTTCACAAAGAAAAACTATCATTTTGGAAATAAGCACGAATGTCAATCAGATATACACAATAGTTTTACTTTAAAAAAAAAAAGAAAAGAAAAAGAAGGTCCAGAAAAAAGAATATTAAAAAAGAAAAAAGAAGAAAAGTAAAAAAGTTGGAATTAAAGCAAGTTATTAACATGCAAAACATACCTCCAGCTTTAACAATATCAACAAGATCATCCTTCAGAACAACAGGTATTGAGCGAGGTATAGACCCAATGCCTAAAACTTGTGTATTTTCTTGGATTTTGATTTCCTGATAATCATGACAGACAATGGTTCCTTCCATAAATTGAAAATTTGTGCCTTCACATGATCTAGCCCTCTGTTACAGAAGACAACAGGTTGTTCATCAAACTTCTAATACAAACCAAAAAGAGCCAACTAATACATCAATCAAAAAAAAAAGAACCAATTAATACCTGGATCTCATAATTACAAGATATGTGATATTATAAAATTAAGGTAATTCTATATACAATGATGAGGATTAATTATTACGCTGTGCAGGCTCAGAGATGAGATCATTTGCTACTTCACTGTTCACTTTCTCAGGGTCTATGAACCAATTTTTTCACATGTTTGGTATTTTCTAGGTTGGCATCCTGGAAAGGAAGATATTTGTCAAAGGGAGGGAAGGTGGTTTAAGTTAAAAGTGTTCTCTTCTCTCTTCCCACTTACCTACTATCACTGTTCCTCATTCCAGCCAGAGGGTGAGGAAGCTGAGGAAGTTCAATATAGCTTGTCTTGCCAAGTGGCTTTGGAGGTGGAATGAACAACCTAATGCTTTATGGGGAAGGATTATTCTAGCTAAATATGGTGCAGGTGATTCAATATGGGAGCCAGCTGAGACAAGAATGTCTTATGGGTGTGCAGTGTAGACTGTGGAGAGGAACTCAAAAAGCTCTTGTGGAGTTCAGCAAAGGAATCAGGTACACAGTGGGAGATGATACAAGAATCAAATTCTGGACTAATACTTGGTGTGGAGATCATCCTCTTAATCAGAGCTATCCTAACCTCTATGAGATTGCTCAAAGCAAAGACTGCTTGGTTGCTGAGGCTTTCTCTTGGGTAGGAGATACAGAAGTTTGGTGTCCGATATTTAGAAGGAATCTAAATGACTGGGAGGTTGGACAGTAGATGAAGCTGATGCAGCAACTGTCTGGCATAACTCCTGGCTTCATGAGTAGGGATAAGAGAATTCAGAAGTGGGATAAAGCAGGAATTTTCACAGTGATGTCTTTTTTATTATGGGTGGCAGTGTGGGCAAGTGTTTGACAGTGGAGATTTTGGCTAGGAGAGGGCTGAGTGTGCTGCCTAGTAAGTGCATAATGTGTGGGGAAGCTTCTGAAGATTCAGATCATCTATTGATCCACTGTAGAGTTGCTCAAATCCTTTGGGCAAAGTTTTTGGGTCTGTTTGAAGCTCAGTTCTGTTTCCCAGAAAATCTATTAGCAGTGCTTCAGAGTTGGCAATTGAAAGGTCTCTCTAAAGAAGGCAAGGTTATCTGGGGAGAAGACCAGCTTTAGTGGTTTGGACAATATGAACAGAAAGAAAAAAAAGAAAAGACTGTTTGTAAATAAGTTTGTTACAGAGGAAAATTTATGTAAATGATTTTGGGGTAGGATGTACTCAAGGGTAGGAACACATAAACAATTCAGGAATAGACCATATAGCTCTTTTTGTATCTATGCACACAGGGTATACAATTTAGAAGATGTAGTACAGTTTTTGATTGGGCATTGCACAGCTCCTTGTTGTTCAGATCTGGTTTGCTTTTTGTCTAATATATTACTTTACTTTTCTCTCAAAAAAAAAAATTGCTCAGTTAGGTGAATCCTAGATTTGGATAAAGAGGATGGTTTTTTATCAAGGTCAATTCTTCGTGGGTTAAAGATTTTAGTTCTAGGACTTAGTATGGAGCTCTGATTCACCATTGCTTCTTGTGCCTTTCATCTACAACCACATGATACAAATAAAGATTATAAGATGAGTAAGAAAAAAATAGAAAGATTGATCAGATATGAACTTATTTAAAGGAACCTAGGAGTGGCTCCAATAGGTGATAAAAAGTAGGAAAGTAGACTAAGATAGTCTGTTCACATGCCGAGAATACCATCCAAATAACCAGTATAAAGAAGTATCTGTTACAAGGAAGGGGCTAAAAGAGCTAGGGGCAGGACCAAAAAAAGTAGACTAATAGTTTGTTCACAGGTGGATATTGGCTTTAAATAGAAAAAGATTGGCAGAACAGGATTTATGTAGTCAACCCCATATAGTTGGGATAAGGAACGGATGATGATGATGATAATTTGCTAAATAAAAAAAAAAAAAAAAGATTATTTGCTAATAATGTATAAATCAGTGGGCATTAAGAAGAAGCATACCTGGGAAGGGCAAGATGATGGAAGCCTTACAGCATTTCCAGTCTCTAGTTCGGGATAGACTTTAAACCTAAATGCAAACATTATCAGTCCAGCTGATGACAAACAGAAAACAGAATTAGTCAATACCTACTCCAATATACTAGATGATAAACAGTTAAACACAAAGCATGCTATTCAGTAGCACCACTAGGAGAAATAAATGCTATAGATCAACACAATCACGTGTTGAGAGTCACCAATGGGAGCACAAGTGCAATGCCCTAAATTGAGAAATACAATTGGAATTGCTTGGGTCCAGGAAAGATCATGTAATTCCTTCTAGGATAGATCATTCCATGTTAAATTGATAACGATAAATGTGAAACCTAATTAAAGACCTTTCAAGTCTAGATAATGTGAGAGGACATGACAAGTATTACCAGGGGGGGGGAGGTATGGACATGGGGGATGTGTTCTGGTGCCAGTGGCGACGAGAAGAGGATTTGTGGGCGGTTACTGAATTAAGAGGTTGTCGGGTTACTTAGTTTAGTGTAAAGACTACGATTCAAAAACCAGCCTTAGCGATATCAGTAGCGAGAGTAGATGTAGTTGTGTTACTTGCTAACTGAGCCACAAAGCACAGACATTCGGGAGAAAAAGAAAAGGATTCGACATTTTGGTTGGAATATAAAAAATTACCATGTCTTCTGCTCATGCACTAGTAGCCCCATCCTCAGTTTTCTAGATTAAAAAATAATTATAATAAATAAGATAAGAATGGTTGAGCTACAGATGAAAGTGAAAATCAAATCACCTGTGCTTGCATTTACGGCACTCGTATTCCCGCTCCCCTTCAATCATCTTGATGGACCCGGACCTGATGACAGTCCCTTTCAGAGTCAGAAGAACACCCCGATGTTTCACTCTCACGCGTCCAATGCTCGGGAAAGTCTCTGTACGCATACAAGTTGCCACGGATCAAACAGAGAGGCAAGTTTGAATAATAGAATGCAAAAGACCATGCTTCGTCAGTGGAGCTAAACCTGGGAACTCCAGAGGAGAGCCACTGATGTTGATCCGGACGTGTACGAAATTCTTGAGAACTGCATCCTTCGGGTACTTCAGCTCGTCCAGAATGACACGCTATTATTTTCATTCAAATAATATGAAGTCTTTAGTGCATTTGATGGTATTTGAATGTCATGGCGATAGATTCGACAATTCAATACCTGAGCCTGGCAAGCACCATGATCGAATAGCAGCAAGAATTCAGTAGGTCGGGAGAAGAGGAGGTGTGCTAGTTGAGGATCTTCTTCAGTCAACTCTGCGAAACTGAGGGAGAGGGAAAGGAAGAACTGTTGTTAAACTGGAGGTAAAAGAATGAGAGAACGAAAATTACTGGGGCTTACTCTACAATGAGAGGATAATGGAGCATGGAATCTTGGGAGAACAGAATCGAGTGAATCTCGTCAGTATGGCGGCGAATGATAAATCTCGCAAAAGCATGTATGTGATCTTCGGCCGCCATTTCATGTTCTTGACAATTATCCATCGATGAATACAGTATATAAGACTAAAATGAGATGTAGACAAATGATAATGGAGTTTTGAGCTTCCGCACTTCACTTCTCTGAGATTCAGAGGTACTGGTTCGCACTTCGGACTCGTTGATGGAGCATTGGGCGGGAAGGGGAAGTAGGGTTGCAAACGGATCGGATCGAATCGAATCGGATATATGTAGTTTTCGAATTCGAGTCAGGTGTCATACATCGTATTCGAACCGAACTCGGATTACATGGGATGTATAAATATATAATGTATTCTAGTTTCCGGGTTTTTACGTATTTTTCAATTTTGGACTTTCTTTCGAGTACCCCACTACCCCTATCTTTTAAAGAGGGCAATAAGGAGAAAAAAGTTCATTCTATTTAATAGTCCTATAATCAAGAGATCAACTCGGTTATTCGGTTAGTACGTAAACTTGGTACAAATAGAATGCAGTCACCATATTGGTTCCCACCACACAAGAAGATACTCAACCTACTTGAGTTTGGTTCCTAAAAAGGTCATTAATAAATTATACCAATTAAAAATAAATTTACAATACAAAACCTATGTATTTATCAACATAAAAATGAATTCATCATCCAGTTTCAGTGGTGGGTAAATACTTCATCCATTTGGGTTTAAATGGGTCGATCCATGATGTTACGTTTAAATGACGAATGTTTAAACATTAATTAAAAATATGATTAAAAAAACTAATTTTTGTAAAAATAGATATGTATTTAATATTATATATTTATTAATGGAGACCTATAAGATGTACGGGATTTATTAAGCGAAAGCTAAATAATAGAAATGGGCATTTACTAAAATACCCCTTATAGTTTCATAGATTTATTAAAATCTACCCTATAGTTAGCATTTTACTAAAACACCACTTATACTTTGCAATAGATTTAATCAATCTTCCGTTAGAGGACACTAGAAAATGACAGTATTGATCCTATTGTTCATTTAAATAGATTTAATCAAAAGAAAATAAAAATAAAAATACATTTTTTGCCCTTAATAAGGCACAGGCAACCACTCTATTGGCTATATTTGGTCAATTTTGTTTTTTATACTAAAAAAATGTTAAAGATATTTTTTGAATAAAAAATCATGGGCCTGATGGCAAAACAGACTCTCCTTAATGAAAGGTTGATTAAGTAAATAAGTTGTAAAATATATGGAATGTTTTAGTAAAATGAAAACTATAAGGTAGGTTTAAGTAAATATGTAAAACTATAAGGTGTGTAGGAATGGCAACGGGGCAAGGATCATATTCCCTATCCCCGACCCCGATTATGAAATTAACCCACATCCCCAATCCCCGACGATGATGGGTTCCCCGTGGGGACTCAAATCCCCAAAATGTTTTCAGATAATAGTATTTTTTAAATAAATTGATTTAAAATAAATAAAGATTATAAATTATAAATAATGTTTTAAAGATGTTTTGATATATATATATATACAATATAAATAATATAATAGTATGTTTAATATAAATAACATTTAATATATATATATATATAAAATTAGGGTCGGGGCAAGGCAGGGACCTCGATCCCCATCCCCGACCCTAACCCCAACTAATCCCCGTCCTTACCCCCCACCCCACCAAAACAATCCCTATCCCTGGCCCCATCGGGTCATGGAAGTCAGGTCCCTATCGGGGATGGGGAAAATTGCCATGTCTAAAGGCGTGTTATAGTAAATGATCCTAATAGAAACACACAAAAGTATACAATTGTTTTATATTTTAAACTTTTTAAATAATTAATAATCATTCATATTTTATATATTGCTCTTAATAAAATTTTTATAATAAAAAAATAACAATAATTAATTTTAGTTAGGTTTATCCATCAAACTGATGAAACCAACCAACCCGATTAACTCAACATGAGTTGGTCGGCATTCTAGTATTTTAGGTTGGCTTTGGTTCAAAAATTTTCCAATTCGACCAAATTGGATCAATTTCACTTTGGCCAGTTGCAAACCAACCAAAATCGAACGACCTAACCATGGGTATCTATTGATATTTTATATTTTAAATATAACTTTTAATATGGAAAAGTGGGAAATTTCTCATATTTCATAGTCTAAAATATTTTATATCATAAATATAATTTTTAATAATTTTATTGTAATTCTTAAAATTAAATTAAATTTTTTAGTTTAAATCTTTTGAACCAACTGACTAAACCAAAAAATTGACTCAAACTGATACAACTTGAGTGGGTCGGTTTTCACAAAAGGTTAGTCGGCTTTAGTTGACCAACTCCCTAACCCGACCAAGTCAATTTGATTGGCCAAATAGCCTATGACTGAACCAAACTAACTCATGAACACTCATAATTTTAACTAAATTAATAGTCTCATCTCCAATAAATAACAATAATTTAATCTCCAATAATTATTGAAAATTTATAGCGAAAACACACAATTATTGAAAATATATTGATAATAAAAAATACAACAATTATAGAAATTACAAAAATACAATAAGTACTAAAAATATATTAACTTAGTCAATAAATAGTATAATTTCAAATAATAGTTTAATCTATAATAAACATTAACCAATAACTCAAAACAAAAATACAACAAGTACGATAAATTAAATTTAAAATTTAATCTCCAATAATTATTGAAAGTTTTCTATTAAATAACAAAGCAAAATAAATTTATACATAATTATTGAAAAATACATTTATCACAAAAACAATAAATAATTATTGAAATACAATAAATATTAATTTTATTATATATAATATATAATAAATACAGATTAAGAGTTTAAAATTATTACTAATAAATATTAATTTTTTGAAAGTTATTTTCTTGAATTATTACTTGATATAAGTGAAAATAATTATTTACAATATTATATAAAATATTAAATTATTATTAATTTCCATATTATGTTATAATTATTTTTCTACTTTTTAGATTTTTTTTACATAATTTATTTATTTTAACTATTTAAAATCTAGTTATATTAAATACTTGTTTATTTAAACATTTAGTTATTTAAATACTTAAATAATATGTAAATTATTTAAATTTTAAAATATTAATTACTTGTTGAATCCATAAAATCATAATTTATACTATTATTACATAATTTCACTATTAATTTTGTAATATATTAAATTATTATTAATTTCAATATTATGTTATAATTATTTTTCTACTTTGAAGAAATTATTTAAATTTAATACGTAATTTCGTTATTTTAACTATTTAAAATCTAGTTATGATAAATATTTAGTTATTTATATATTTAAATAATCTATAAAATGTTTTAAATTTTTTGTCATTTGAATTTTATTTATTTAAAGCTATTATATATTATTAAATTTTGAAAAACATTTAAATTGATAATCCGAAAAACAAAATTTTAATTGTTAGAACATAATTTTGTGATATATTTTGTAAAAATATAAATTTATTTTTTATGTTTTTAATAAATATTTTAAAATTATTAAATAGTTTTGTTAGAATATTTAAATAATTCTTAAATTTTTTAATCCAAACTTTCTTTAGATAGATATAGATAAAAAGTATGGGAGAGGATAAATAGGAATTAAAGATAATTTAGGAGAGAAACTCTCTACTAAATTAGAGATAATTTTGGAGATAAAAGGGAATTAGAGATAATTTAAAAGAAAAATATTAATTATAGATAATTTTGGAGAAAGTGGATGATAGTGGGGGAGGTAGTTTAGGAGAAATTTTAGGAGAAGAAAGTTATTGGGAAAGTGCATCTCATTGGTTGTTTAAAAAAAAATGACGACATGGAATAAAAAAAATAAAAATTCAAAAAAGGAAAAAATGTTTTAATATATATATGTATATATATAAAGAGAGATATTATATTTAAATCAAATCAAATAAGACAAATAAGATGTATTTTTAATAGGGATTTAGAAAAAATAAAGGATGTTTGATAAATTGACAAAATCACAAAATGAGATACATTAAGAAATTAATTGCAAAAACAATGAGCGGGACAAAAAGGTTAATTTTTTTGGACCAAATTACCTAACCTTAAATTCCTGCACAATCTATCAAGGAAGCACCGAAAGAAGTTGCGTCATCCAACCTAAAGAAGGAAGACGATAGACGAAGACAATGATTGCCAAATGGGATGTTGCTGTTCGGTTTGACTAGGTGAGTGAATTGAGAAGCACAAATGACTTACTGATCTTGGCTTCTTTTTGAATGGTCGTTGAAATAGACGGTCTGATCATTTGGCCTGAAAATTGTTTAGACAACCAGTTTCGCTTCACCCTTAATTTGTTATCGAGTAAAAACTGTTGACTTTATTAGAGAACTGCTGATTCGAACAATCGAGTTGTTCGACCCGAATAGCAATTCACGATTTAAGAAAATTGTAAAGGAAAGAGATGACAGAAACCGAGGCACAAACTCGTATCAGAAATCTAGAAGATAGAGAATAAGGAAGAAGAAGAAGATTGTAGAGGTTGGAGAGAAATCAATCTCAGATTTGAGATCTCAGTTCTCAAATCTCAAATTTGATATTTGCATATGTTGTCGCTGCCTCTTTCCTTCTTTCATTTCCTTTTTCTCCTTTTATTTTTTTCCTTTATTTCTTTCTATCTTTCTTTTTTCTTTATGAGCCAACAACCTCTATAATGCAAATTGTCCAAACTGTTCGACCTGGACGGTCGAACCACTGACCTAGAAACCAATAGTTAGAATGGTTCCACTTCTGGGTTGGTTTTTAAAACCTTGCCCCATGGGGATTGCTTAGGCGGGGTGGGGATGGGGATTAGGATTAACAGGGATCCCCACCCCACCCTGACCCCGATTATATAGTAAATATTATTTATATTAAATATATATTATTATATATACAATATTGTTTATATTATTTCTATATATCAAAACAAATTTAAAGCATTGTTTATATTTTAAATTATTTGTTTATTTTAAGTTTATTTTTTCAAAAAAATATTGCTGATTAAAAAAAATTGGGGATTTGAGTCCCCATGGGGAACCCGTCCTTGTCAGGGATCGGGGATGGAGGACAACTTTTATCCCAATAGGGATTTCAGAATTGGGGCAGGGATGGGAAATATGATCCCCATCCTGAACCTGTCCCATTGCCATTCCTAGAAGTATCAGACATGGAGCTTATCAGTTATAGCTCCGCCTTTGCCTTGACTTTACTAGGGCAGTGTTTGGCATCAATGCCGTTGCTCCAAAAAATTGTGACACATTAGTGCCACCTTAGAAAAATCGGTGCTCCATAAAACGGTAATATGTTTGGAACCATTTTTCCAAAAAAGAAAGATGCTCCAAACCACACTTTGGAAATGAGAAGGCATGGTATGGGGAAACGCCGAATTCAACATTTTCTCAATTTGGAACTCATTGYTGCCAACAATGACATGATGTGGCAATGACATGGACTTCCTATAATGGGTACCAGTGTTGAAAACAGATATGGAGCACTAGTACCAAGCAGAAGGTGGTGTTGTTGCCCCAATAAATGTCCTACCTGGTAGCAATGTTTTCAAACAAAAAAAGATATTATTTTCTAAGAAAGCGGTGCTTCCAACCCACACATATACAGCACCGTTTTCTAGCATTGATGTAGGTTTGCCTGAAGCACTGAATTGGTCTTCTTGAGTTATATTTTCTGTTCCAGCTAAATGCTATAGCTCTGTGATGCTCATTTTTCAATTTTGCTTGGATCATCTCCAAGACAGGCTCCCCAATACTTCAGTCTCGATGCTTCACTTTTCCTGTCTAGAACAACTGACCCGACATTAACAGCAAAAGAAAACTCTGAATAACAAAAAGAGATTATCTCTCAGTCCATAATACAGAGCCGCTTTCTCCTCTTCTCTTCCCTTTCCACTTTATTGGAAGAAGATGAGGAAGACAACTGTGAAGACAACAAAGCATACTCGGTCTCATCTCCGAGTAGATGAATCTATTGAGTCTTGGGTTGAGGTGGGAGGGTGGCCATGTCTGACTTCATCTGACCACCCAAAGCCCTCCCACCGCCACCGGCAACCCGCTTAAAGCAGAGCTTACAATTGAACTCCGAAACAGAGCTTTTAAGCACAATCCAGTCCTGCCCTGCACTTTCTCTAATTCTCTCTAAAAAGGTGATTGACCAAAAGTTAACTTCGTCATCTCCATTGAACTCAGATAAAACCAGTCATCTCTAAATGTGATGACTAATAGAAACAACAAGTAATAGAAGATGGCATTTAATGAGTCATTTCTTTGTATGGTTATCTTTCTTTTCATGTTCAAAGACCACTCCATCCCACTCCTCCATTGTACCTCTGTTACCATCTTCACCACCACTGCAAATTCTCCATCTATCCATCAATCCCTTGCTAGTCGCCAACACAGCTCCACATCCGTTGGTATATCCAAGGYTACATTCTATGGGATGAACAACTTCGTCCTATATCATGGTTAGCATCGGCTTCTTGCCAGTGTTGATCAGATGACGATCCCTTTACAACTCCTGCCTTTCCTGGGCTCAAATTCGAGCGTGATGTAAAAAAAGGCCAATTCTGTAAAAGGAAGTTAAATTTTTATTCCACTCACTCTATTGTAATGCCAAGCTAGGAGTATTTATATATTGTTGGAAGTTTCCACTCTTTAATATTTATTCTTTAGTCTTTACTCTTTATGATCTACACTTTGATTCAACAATTGTTGAATGTTCAAGGTTTTTATTTTATATTTGGAGTTTTAAGATTAATGTTAATCTCTTTAATTTTAGCATTTTCATTTATTTTTTATTTGTTTTTTAATTCGTTTTTTTTGGGATGACCCAATTTGACCAATGGGTCAATTCTAACCTGAACATTTAAGGTCAGGGTTTAGCATTTGTCGGGCCAACTGAAACTCAACTCAACATGGGAATTAACCCCAAATGTATTAACCCAACCCAAACCTAACCTACCAACCCAATTCCCAAGTGTAGGTTAATAATTCAACCTATGTTATCATAATTAAACAACATTATATATATATATATAAATAAAATATTATTTTTTTACAAAAACATTAATTGCCTCTAAGATTATGCATTCACCATATCAAAACAAAATAAAACTTGATAAATATAAACTATTTTTATGAGGGTTTTGTTTAGAGGTTAAATGGAGATGGGACCTGTTTTATAAAACGTGCACTCTTTAATGGGCGTAGTGCTCCAGACTTCCCAGGAAGTGTACATATGAAACTGCCTTTGGATCTAACATCATCAGCAGATTCAACTCTCATAAGATCTTATCCCACTTGTGGATCTAACAAGGCTGATGCATTTCAGGTGGGTTTCTCCTGGATGTACAAAACAAACAACAAAAGGACGAAATGGGCTTATTTCTACGATTTTGTTTATGTAAATGGCATTATTGAAGCTCTCTTCGTTGCGTCAGGTTGGTGGTGCCTTTGTAGAAGAGGAGATGGAGTGTCAAAGTCGATGGAGGACGGATAACGTGCAATTAGCCTTGTTAACGATTTTGTTAAGGGACGACAACACAGTGTTGTTTATGCAACGATTTTGTTTTCTTCTTCGCACGAAACACGAAAAGGGGGCAGGGGGGCACCTTGCTTTCTTCTCAAAAGCAGTAGCAATGGTTGGTGCTGCTTTCTTCTCAAAAGCAGTAGCAATGGTTGGTGCTGCTTTCTTTTTCTCAAGCGGCAACAATGGTTGATCTTCTTCCCAGACGGCGATAATAGTTTCTTCTTCCAACGGCAGCAAGATTTCTTCGTAAGCGGCGGCGATGGTTTCTTCTCCCCACAATGAGCAAAATGGTGCCGAGACCTAATAGGCTAATGGTACTCAACTTTTAATCAGGGTTATTTTGGTCTTTTTAAATTTTATGATTTTAATAGTTAAAAAATGTTCATATTTCAATAATTTTACTTAGCGGAAATGGACTCAGGTGTCTATTTTTAAAAGTTCAAAGTTGATCTATCACTCCCCTAAAGTATAGGGTATTCAACTATAATTTACCCTATTTTTAAGAAACCCATAGAGATGTAAGAAACCCATAAAGATGTTCCCAATGTGCAATTGATGTGAGATTGGTATATGTTGTGAGGTGGATGTGAAGAATTGGGATATTCTTCTAATAAAATACGTTATAACCCTCAACCAACTTGATCTAATACAGCACATCTCACCCTGAGATTGGGATCCACCGTAAAAGTGAAACCCGCCATGTATGAGATGTGTGCTTGTGGTRTTAGATCAAATTGGTAGAGGGTTGGGAGGTGTTTTGTTGGCAGGTGATTCGGACCGGATGTGGCTCGTCCACTTACACCTCTTCAATTTGAAGATGCGGGATCAAACCCGCAGAACCAGCAAACTCTGTGACATGGCTTGCCGGCGTGGGAGACTTACGTGCACCGTGCTCTGCCTCTGCAGTCTGCCCCACCCCCAAATCCAGAACCCAAAATCTATGCCCAGTTCGAGCGGCCGAGCCGGGCTAAGGATGGATCCGCCGAAGTTGCAACTTGTAACCCCAGCTAACGTGCTTTGATATGCTACCTACAAGACGCTGCAATCACACATCGGGAACATCTCCGTACTGGCATTCATGGGAGATGTTCTCGATATACGGCCGTAGTATCTTGTAGGTAGGAGTGGGTAGCATATACACTTATGCAGCAGCCTGAGAAAATCTGAGTTCATCGGACCGCGTGATCTGCCATACATCGATGTATCTTTTTACATCTCAGGGTCGAATTTTGGAGAAGCAGAAACGCCGGCCGGAGAAACGAACCAAGAAGAAAGTCCAAAATACCCAGAACTGTGACGCTGTGAGTGTTTTGAAGCTTGATTTTCAATTTTATACTTAGATGATATATACTTCTTTTGTATCCAGATTTTATAAACAGTAGTTGCGGTTTACTGGTTAAACTCTTCTTCTTCTTCTTCATGTGATACTTTTCATTTGATAATTCTATATCATCTTGCACCGTGAACATTATGCCACCATGAGTAGCACATTTTGATAACTGGGCTTTAATTTGTATTTTATTTGTTTATCATCCATTACAATGGTGGCATTATTAACAGAAGAGATCCATCTACGGAAAGCGACGTGCTTCAGGAACACCCCAAGCATGGGAAGGCTCCTGTTAAATACTAATTAACATCCCTTATCTGCATAGGGTTAAAAGGCTTTGCTTGTTTAGCGAGGACAAACTTAACTAAAAGACGAAACTTCATCTAAAACTTGGGTCACAGAACTGATATCACCCTAGCGAAATATATTCTATTTACGAAAATCTTAGGATAAAACCTATCTTTAATGGCAATGGCACGAATGTGTTATTATGTACCTTCTTAATTAATTCCTTGTTTTCCCCATGTAGAGATCATTTTCTTATTAACATGAGAATAGAAATGCTTAATTTTTCCCCTCTTTCTCTTTACTTAAAATAAAGGATCAATAAAATTTACCTGTTATACCGTTTCCCATAAAAAAAAAATCACCTGCTATCAGTAATAAGGAAAGGGTGATACAACAACGCTACTTTTTCCATGTCGGTAATACTACAAGTCCAGCTAATGTGTTTTTAGGCTGGGTGAGTTGAGAACCACCTTTTTTTTTTTCGAGTTATTTGGAGATTTGGATATTTACAGGTCACTCTTTGAGGGCCAACTTAATATTCGCTGCCCCAACTCCTTTACTATGACAAATTGAGGAAACTGAATGGAGAGTTCTTTTCAACTCCAAATATTTATACTTAAATTTTACTAATACAAATCAGAAGTCACGTCCTGACGAGGAGGACAAGAGCCTTATTCCACTCCCTTGATACAAGGTAATTGTAGGTAGTATTTTTAAGGCACTTTTTTTTTTGATAGATAAAGAAAGATTTTATTCTAGATAAACAGCCGGTAATGTTACAAAGAAGCAGGAGGAGCTGAGAGGTGCATACTCCCCCCAAAACAACAAAAAGCTGCTTATAACTGAGCCCAGAATAAATGGTCCCCATTAACCCCCTGCTTAGCTAAAATGTCTGCCAATTCATTGACTGACCTCCTCTCCTGTCTCCCATTGAATTCTTAATGTCACGTTACTAGTGTACCATTTGATTGAACCTTTTTAAGTTCTCCCTTATAAGTCCAAATTGCCACCTCCGGTTCCTATAGCTATCCTATTACCACCTTGAATTTTCTTTCAACAATCAGTTTATCAAAGTTCAAATGTCATTCCAAGAATACTCACTTTACTAGTTTCAGTGAATGGTCTACTTTACATAAGCCATAAGGTTTTTCTTTTTTCTTTTTTGCTGTCTACTTTGTGGAGTTAATATATTGTTTGGCTGGTTGATCCTTTTCGCTTTCCCCTTCAAGGTTTGGATATTATCTCATTTGGTTAAAAGAAGCAGAGATGCCACTGGGGTTGATATTAGGGTTAGGAAGGGCAATGCGAAGAAAACAAACATCATCCCTTGATATTCTCTCTTCAAAACGGGGTCCACGTGATTACTACAAGGGGAAAAATTGCAAGTCAACTGGTTTCCATACTCGCAAAGGTTTGATTACTTTCCCTACTAATATAATCCTTAAATAATTTATCATTATTTTTGTTTGAGATATTTGACAAATTTGTCTAGAATACATACAGCAGTAAACTTTTGAGTTTCCTTGATATTATTTTTTTAATAAGTGAGCCATTTCTCAACTATGGAAAGATATTTGGCTTATACTTTCATCTACGTATCATAATAAGTCATTTCTCAAGCAGACAATGCTAGATCCTGAACCTGAAGTAAGCTTTATTGAGGGCTTGGCCAATTTGCTGGCAGACAGCTAGGGGTGCCAATTGGACTGGATTTGCTCCAATCCGATCCAGTCCAATGTAAGTCCATTATAAATGGGCCAGGTCTAATCCAATCCAATGAATATTTTGGACCATTTTGGACTGGTCCAATTCAATGTCTGGACCGTCCAATCTGTTCAAATTGGTTTTGATTTAGATTGGTTTCAACCTAAGCCCGGTCCATTAACACCTATATTCTTATATTACATCAATGGATCAGATATTGGCTTAATCCAATCCAATCCAATATAAATTTGTTACAGATGGGCCCGGTCCAGTCCAATCTAATAAATATTTTGGACCGGATTGGTCCAATCCAATATGTCTTGTTGGTTCGTCCAATCTGTCCAAATTGATTTTGGACTGTATGGGGTCCAGTCCAAAACCGGTCAATTGACACCCTTACAGACAGCCCAGCTAGGGGATGGAAAGGACAAGAATAAACTTTTTTTGGAGCTTGCTCCTTCCGGTTTAGTTATTTAGGTATTTTGGATTTTTTGTTGTATTGCCCGAGCTTGGTCTATTATGTTTGGCGTCAATTTGTGACAATCTTGTTCTGATGGTCTTGTCTTCTCCTTGTTTCTTTTGCTTTTGGTTCTGATATAAGTGGAGTTTTTGCTGTTGTTCATCAAAAAAGAAGGCACTGAAATTCATAAAAAAAAGAAGGCACTGAAGTAGCTTCTTTGTAGCGCTGTTTATATCACTCTTGGAAGCACATGGAATGAATGTTATCCTTTATTAGGAAGAATAAAGCAAAAAAGAAAAAAAAGTAAGAAAACAACTGAATTGTGATGTAATGTGATTTATAACTCCTAGAGAATAGCAATAGCATTCGACCTACATATTACATCTGGACCTATACTTATGCAATAACTATTTCTTTTCAATATATAAACTTCTTGACATGCATTCTGATTAACCACTAAATTGCTTCGCTAGTACTGCAAGAAATCACAAAAGTACTGAAGCCATAACTAGAAAATTTAGATGAATATCACAGAAGTTGAGACTCATGGGTATGTATTACTTACCATCACACCAGTTCAAAACAGAAGTAGTGGCTCTGAGCCATGTTAAGTCTGTGAAGGAGAGGAAAATTATTTAAATGAAGGCTGAAATATTGCAATTAGATGTGGTCTTAACTATCAGACCATACTCTGTGCAGGAACTAGTTTCACGTAATAGAGGTCTGAAATTGGACAACATCATTTGCAAGAGTGGCATTACTGGTCTTGTCAATGGCACTGGTGTCCAGGAATATTTTCTGGCCTGGGTCAAATATCCTGTTGTCAAATGTAATGTGCATGCTGACCTTCTAAAGGAATGATGTGGGCGCCGGCAGCAGCAGCAGTAATTTAGTGTTCTCAGCAGCAACAATTTAGTGTTCTCATCCTATCTTATCTATTCAGTATTCTTACCTTATTTGCTTTCAGTAGCAGGGATTAGTAGGAGTCTTATCTATTCAGTTATCTTAT